GAAAATTGATATTCATACAAAATATGCAGAATAATAATGAGTACTTTCTGTCAATAGATAGTTCTGATGAGAGTTCACGTGGAAGGAGAAAACAGTTTTCCAAAAACTAAATTAACTGAAATGGAAGTGAGTAGCTGTACTGATGATAGTGTAAATGACCCAGATTATATTATATCTGACTCTGAGAATGAAAAACATTAGTTCACTGAGTAATTCAATACTCAAAAAACTATCAGATTCAAAACAACCTTTCTAGTTATATTAATTAAATTATCCACAACCGTGAGGCAGATAATAGTGAGGTCTTATCAGACTAATGATGGTCTGATAAGCCCTCACTATTATCTGCCTCACAGTTGTGGACAATTTAATTAATATAATTACATCAAGGGCTAGAAGCAACTTTTGTAATAATTTCGTAACCTTTCTAGTGTTCAAGTGCCTCTGTGTTTCTGATTGATTCAAAAGGTATTAGTCATTCTACAAACTGGTCACACTTACCAGTATGAATTGTCATTGTTCACACAATGCACTCTCAAGAAACAAGATCATCCTTGTTCATAAATTTCAATTTGTAATTTACAACTTAAATATTCATCATAAGTCCATATAGCCCTACAGACAGTCAAAAATTTGAAGATTTAATGTCACTTCTGGAATAGATTCCACCAGCACATTATAAATTTTACAAAAATCTGGTTATTCAAGATAACTTACTACAGGTGAATATCAATCTGAAAATGTGGATGGACTTTATAATGATGATTAGTGCTTGACAAAAATAAACTGCTGTACTACCATTTTACTGTGCTCTTTAATTACTCATAATGTTTATCAATACATTAGATTTGCTGATATTAACAATATCATATTTCAATTCAATGTTAAATTAGAAAGTATACTTATTCAAAACAAATTTGTATGTATCATTCATTCATAAACCTTTCCAAACCCAATGTCCAACCACTTGGTGCAATAAAGATGCTAACCACCAGACATTCCTAGTTATCAAATATATGTATAATTCAGATCTTTTACATAGATGATTCTGGAAAATTTTTACAAAGAAAACAACATAAGACCCAAAACTTCCTAGTGAAAGCATTTTGAGAATTTAACTCCCAAAATTTAGAATTATACAATTTTTAAACTATCAAATATATCTCAGAAGCATAGTGCCTCATTCACTATGTGGCATAGTACCTTATTGCACTGATTCCTTCATATGATAGCATACAAATAGTCAGTATTTACTCTACCTATCCATGGTTTAGAAAGAAAAAATCTTTAATTGTGTGTTCTGCCATATAAACAGTGTCCCAAAGAAATTTATACAACAATTAGTTAAAGCCTGTCTAAACTAAGCTGATAAACATATGGAACAGTCAAATAGAACAATTACATCTCTTATTTCTCTGTGACCATAATTGCAGATAAAGCCATAGCAGCTGAAAGTATCTTTTGCACAAAAAAAAAATTGGGATCAGGAGATTACCTCTATTACAGAGATGGTTAGACCAGACAAAGAACTAGCAGAGGAAAGCAGAAAACCCAGAATTTATAAAATCAAATTAAGCAAAGAGGACAATGAATTTTTCTGCATGAGATTCATGTAAGGTTGACAAATCTTTGAGTCAGAGAACATTTTGATTCAATTAACAAGTACCCCAATAACAGCAGTGTTAACATAATGGAAATTAGAGAAAGAGGTCACAATATATTGGAACAATCTGACAGTATTTATATACTACCAGCTTTTGAGTTGCTGATTTTTGGGGGTCAATTTCTCCACGCCCAAACACCTAAAATAATTCCAAATATCTCATTCGAAACAATTAGTTTTTCTAAGTAGTGTGCAGAAATTTCAAAATTTTCTATAAAGTGGTTGCTGAAATATAAGCAACTGAAAAGTGCAAAAATTGCTTAAAAAGCTGTATCCAGAACTGCAAATAAATCACAGAGAAACATTTCAAACTTAAGCCTTTCTCATTATCACTGAAGTGCTCGTGAAACTTCCAGGTCAATAGGTCAAAGTTTATGGGTGTTTCCCGATAAACTAACACAGTTTTACATCTTAATTTTATGCTTATAAAAGATAAAATTGCATGGAAACAAATGAATCTATTCAAAACCTTGCTCAGAATTACAAAAGCTTAAATTTATGCAAATTAAAATTCTTAATGATTTTTCTAAATGGCATATCGAAAGCATCAGTCAGTGGCACATTGGTCAGAGATGTGTTCAGTCAGTGCCAACTGAAATGAATATTGAAAGCATTCAGTTGGCAACACATTTCATTAGTGGTGCGTTGGTCAATGGTTGCCAAGCGACAACCGATCTTGATGAAATAATACAATTATTAAACAAAAACAATTGCTATCCAAACAAAAACATCTCTGATGTTTTTGTTTTAATACTAAGGATTTAACAGAAACTACTTAATTTCATATCAGCAATTATATAAATTCAAAATAAATGTTTTCAAATCACTTTTAGTGATCAACATCAGATTCTGATCAAGCAACACTTTTAAATAAAATTCTGTAATTAATAATTGTTTAAATTTGATATATAAAATTTGTTTAATTCCAAACAGATTCATTGTAAAAAGAATAATTTGTTGTATTTCAAACGGCAACATAACGACACCCGTAACACCAAAGGCACCAAGAAGGGGACACGGAAATTTGGATATGGCATGTTATCGCTTCCTGGCTCCAGGCCAAGATCGAAACCAAATATCTGTTCTAATCAGCTTAATACGGATTCATGCCAATACAATTGGATATCGGTACTAAATGAGAATTGAGTACAGTTGAAAATCACTTATTAATTCTTAACATGTGGTTTTTGTTTATCGGTAATAGTTCTAAATAGTCATAAAACTTCCAAAATGTTTTATGATTAAAGTATAATCTATGCCTTCAAGGAATCAAAGCAACTGCAACATCAAAGAATAAAACAAAATATCTAATATGGAGTTATGAGTAATTTCCTGAATCTTTTTTAATAAAGCTATAAATAAAATCTCTACATTTCATCAGATTAAGTACAACTCTCAAAATGTGGTTTTGAATAGTGCCAGTTTTAGTTAATACAAGTCTGTTCTGAAGAAGGTTCAACATTGCCAACTCAACAGAACTCAAAGATAACAACATTAAACAGATCTACTTGGAAAGAGAGCAGAAGTCTTAGTCAAAAGTCAAAATAAAGATATAATTTTCACCAGGTGAAAATAAAGATATTTTGTTTTGACTAAGACTTTCTCTCTCTGCTAATCAGAACTACACCAGTATAATAAATCCTATTTATAAATAAGGTCCAAGTAGATAATATAGAAACAAAAAAGTAAAACATTAAGGATAGAGGTAAAAAGAATTAAACAGCTCTCTTCTCCCCCCACTCCTGCTTACTGTTAATAGGGAAAAATGAGCTTTATTTAGTGCAGTGGGTTTCAGGTAAGTTTAATTTCTATTTACAGAAATTACATTAAATGTGAAAATATTTCTACTTTAATTCATGTTTTACAGAAAATTCTACAAAAGAAAATAGAAGGTAACAACTGTGCTATATAAATATTTTACTTGATTTTAAAAAATATTTTACTTTATGTTTTCCTTCTTTTGAGATACTTTAGTAGTTAATCTAAACCAGGACTTACCAATAGGGTCAATGAGCAAATTAGATACACATTGTACGTGCCTATTTAATATTTTAATATTGTTTAATACAATCACTTAATTGAAAATTCTTGAAAATATGTTTATCATTTTTGAAACTCTCCAATTGTAAAAAAAAAATTTTTTAATTGTGTGCATATGCATTTAAAGGGAGTCACAACAGAAAAAATTTTTCTTAAAAGGGATCAATACACTAGAAAGGTCGGAAACCCCAGATTTAAACTCTACGACCAAATTTTAATGTTATTTTCTTTGATTTGTTTTCATTTTTTGTGTATCACTATACTGTACTTTGTCTAAAACCTTTAATTACCATAATAATTCAATAAAAACATTTTCTTTTTAATTTGATTTCTTCATTTTTTATACTTTTAACCCACCCAAGCACACATTAATATAAAAATTACAATTTCAGACACTCCATAATGATTTAATTCACAAATGAAGTTAACAATCAATAGAAAATATAGTAAATATGTATTACTTTGATACATGTAATATACTTGCATAACCAATTAACCACATATATTAAGGTTCACCAGCAATTCATTTCACCGTGAAAAACTGTTTATTAAATTTTATACTCGCACATTATCTTCAGAAAATCAAAACATAACTATTTAATCTGAAAATACTTGGAAGAATCGTGCATTTTAGAAATTCTTCTAACAAACAAAATTGCACATAAAAACACTCAATAACGAATAGTTACTAAATACCAAATTAGAAGTTTTATAATACGCCTGCATTCAAGAATTTTTTATTTTAACATATCAAGGTCATTACGCGTATACTTTATTTACGCACTAAACAAACACCCTAATTTATCAGTTTGTCTGTAGGTCATCGTCATTTAATGCATAACAGATAAGCGTGCTAAACATACAGGTACACGCTACTCGATCTAATTCTTCCACGACTTTATTTCGGGACTGGATTTCCTTCGACCCGTCTAGAAATTTTAAGCTCAAATTTCAGACCAGCGAGTAAATTAAAGGGGATATTTATTTTTTAATATTTGTGAAATAAAGTTATTGGAAAAAAGGAAAGTAAAATTACTTTCTTTTCCCAAAATCAAATTTAAATAACTTTTTTGACAAACTCATCTATTTTAACAAATGTGTCTACATACCTATGTATACTTTACCTGTATATTCACGAATATACAGGAGATAAAATCATTTTTGAATGTCGTATATTACAACATGTCGTAAAGGTAACATGTTGTAATATAGACACAAGGTTACAAGATATAAATAGCGTAAGCCATTCGTACAGATGAGATGATTTAATATTAAACGAAACATTTAAACATCTTACTTAAAGATCCAGCACTTCCCAAAAATCTAACGACAAATTTCAACCAGAAAGGCGCATCATCTTGAGACGATTTTGGGACGTCACTTGGTTCCATCATCTTTTCTCTTTCATGTCAAACCACTCTTAAATTTCCGCCACTTCTTTACCTATTCTTCTATTTAAGCTTATTTTAATTAATTTCGAATACGGAATGCCTTTTATAATTAACTTTAAAATGTCATCTAGAAAATTCTCATACTAATTAACGTCATATGATTCTTTCCAATGCCCTCTCGTATCGTAAAATGTCAAAGAGTCAAATAATAATTTTTCTTATTTTTTCAAATTTTAATAAAACTAATTCAATTTAAATATTAATTATCTACGTACAAGTGTTAATTCTAAATCAGAAGTGTTTATTATTTATTCCGATTATAGTTTCATTTGCGTTTGTATGTTAGTGAATTATCATAGTCTGTATTTTCTCGACGTAAGTTAATTAATTTAACCAGTAATCTTCATATATTTAATAAACTCTACAAAAAATACTCTTTACATATTCAAAAAGTATTTAGTCATTATTTAAAATCGAAATAATGACATTAATTAACCAGCGGTCTGATGCGCTCGTATCGTTATCCACCGTACAATATTAAACAATGGCGTCATAAAGTATTACTATTTACGGAAAAGCCGATTAATATCGCTTTATATTCGAATAATTGAAATTCTATTTTCGCGCGAGAATAATTAGCTTTTTCTTAATTTCATTTCCCCATTTGTGTATGTACTGTTCTTATTTCTAATACGTGAGTGTTTCTCAGTAAGTTGTAAAGTTAATTCAAGCCTTTACTTTTTTATTCTTTTCGTCCTGTGGACACAGAAAGGACCGTTTTTCATAACCATCGTGAATTCGGCCAGCTTATATAGTAGACCCCCCTATAAACATGAGCCGTTCACAGCCCGGCACACATATTTGTAAAATCTAAGTGACTCGTACAACATGGAATTCATATAATACGAAATTATCAATAGTGTTATAGGGGGGTCTACTGTAATCTGCTCAATCTCGCTAACCAATAATAACAATGAGAACTGTGACTTAAGCAAGACCTGGTATATATTAATGTTTTAATCTTTCATCTTACTACTTGATATGTGGCAAAACAGAGTATTTGATTGCTCCTAGGCAAAGAAATTTTAAGTGCTCCTATACATTTGTATATATATATATATATATATATATATATTAGGGTGGTGCTTAATTAAAATGGGGAAAAAATAAATCGCTTACTTTTTTGTGGTCCTACCCTCCAGTACTATTCCAATTGGTCTCAAATTACTACAGAAGAAATTTGAACTTGATATATTAAGCATCTGTTCCTGTCTTTGTGCTGATTGTTTCTCCTTCGCAGCTAATTTTGCATTCAAACTTACCATTGACCCTTTACGTCCTTTTTCACGCTGAGCTAACAAGAACTTATGATCCTGTGGAATTTTTAACATTTCGACTGCTCTAAGATGAGAAATGTCAAAAAGTTCATCTAGTTTACTAATAAATTTAGCATCATTTGTTTGCTGTGTTACAGATTGTCGCCCCTTGTTTTTCTTTAGCAAACGCCATTCTTCAAATGTTCGTTCTAGTTTAGTTACGCAGTTTCTTGGATCCGTCATTGGCATCCTTGCCATTTCATAAAATATTGTCAGCTTTTCGACTGTAACAGCCGATGTCTGTCTGATAGTTTGTTTCAGTTGAAGATAGAGATGTAAAAACAAACCAAGAGGTAAGGACCATGACGTAAGGATGGCAACTTATTGCCAGTTAATTCAGTTATTCTCCTATTCACACTCAGATTCTTTAACTTTATAAAGTCAAAACACGTTAATACTGAGACAGGGTATTCGAAAAGCCATTGATTCGAACGTCTTGAACCTGATGATGGCCCATGGAATGGGTTGAAAACGTTAAGGTGTGTTGACTTTATAATTCAGTTACTGTTGAATCAAGGAGGTACACTTCAATTTTAGATCTAGTTGCTGCCGCCGCCATATTTATTATATTATTATTTAATAACTTTGCCGAAATGAACAAAAATGTATTATGTGATTTGCTTGAGCAGTTTCTGGATTATATAGTCTATGCATCTGATGATATCAGCAGTTCTTCTGCAACGTTTCTGAACTTGTCCATACGAGCCAAATAGCCAATAGGTGCTGATGTAAGCAGTATGAGTCACTGACTTGTGAGTCAGTCTCAACCAGAAACGGGGAAAAACATTTGCAGCAAAATAAAGATCACCAGTTTTATTATTATTAAATTAATTCTGTGGAAATGTCATGTAGCATGTGTGATTAATTTAATGGTTTATTTATTGAGACGACCAACTACAGTTTTACAAACTGTTGTACTAAAATGGATACATTGTGGTTGAAGCTTGTGATTGCCATATGTCCATCCATACTATTTGGAACCTATAAAAACTTCAGTGACATTGAGCTACCAGTAAATATTCACTAATGGAGTATATTTTTGGTACGAATGTTTTCTATATATATTGGAACGGAAATACAGGATAGAGGGTAGGAGATTCACATTTACAAATTGTGAAAATAAGCTCCACCCCAATATACATATTTATATACAGTGAAACCTCCGTATTTCGTAATATTCGATATTCGTCACATTTTGATGACATTTTTATTTTTTCACGTTTGTCAGTAGTTTCTGTATTCGTCGTCTGTAATTCTGTAATTTCCAACACCGGAATTGGCACTATAATCGCACACCCGCGCTGATCAGCTAGCCGTGTTAGCTAGCTGTAGTTAATAAAGAACTTGTCCAGTGTTGTGTGTTTTTGTCTGCTTTTTAAAACTTTTCTGACGCAATTACATTATCATTGAATGTATTTATATTTTGGTTGATTATAGAAACATTTGGGTGCCACTTTAGAGCGATTGGAACTTTGTTTCTCGCATTGATTATTTTTAATAACTCAACAACACACACGACCACAGCACAAAGCAGACTGAATAAATCGAGTGCTACTAAATCATCGGCAAAACAGACCCCATCATCATAATTGGAATTGCCTAATGTTTAAATTGATATGTCTTCTTCTAAACAATAATACTGTTCTTCCCCTTCTACCACTATATCGTTATTGTACTAAATAAATACAGTAAAGTTTTACAAACAATATAATTTTTATTCTTGTACTTTTTTTTTTCTTCAGGATGGGAACGGATTAATTGAATACCAATTATTTATTATGAGAAAAATTGTTTCTATATTCGTCATATTCTATATTCGTTAGGTCCATGGGAACAGATTATTGACGAATATAGAGGTTCCACTGTGTGTATAGGCCTATATATATATTGGGGTGGAACTTATTTTCACAATTTGTAAAACACACTACTTACACACACACACATATTTTTTAAAATAATATCATTATGGACATTTAAATTTTTTTTATTATTTTACACTAATTAACGATCTATCTTCTCTTTGTCTATGAGTAAAGCAAGCACACACGTTTCTTGGCACCCCTAGAAGATTGCCTAGGTTCGCAGAATGTTAAAACTAGCCCTATATATGACCTTTGTCTATATTTCTATTGTCGGTAATCCCTCTGGAAAAATGAATAAATATATCTTTTAAATAAAATAGAGAAATAATATCCTAGTTGAGATATCTTTTGCAAAGAGTTACCTTGTATTAATTTCATTATTAAGTAATTAATTATAAATATATTATTTATTTAATTACAGTATATTATTGGATTTAAAATATATACAATATGAATGCTAAATATAGTAATTTTATTAGTTTATAATTTCAAAATAGTCTAAATATATCGCAAGTTTTTCTGTAAATGAACGGCATGAGCTTAACCTACCTACTTTGTTAGATAAATAACATCGACCCATAATTATAACTTTGAAATTTTCACGTGTAAACAATTAAAAATAAACACGGAAAGTGAATAAAAAACTCTGAGAACTGAATCATTTTTCAAAGTTAATCGCTACTTTCAAAACAGACGGTCAAATCTTCCTGTAATTAATATCTATATATATAAAAATGAATGTATGTGTGTGTGTGTGTCTGTCTGTCCTTCATGCATTACCACACCGTTTATCCGATTGCCGTGAAACTTTGGGAAGTTGTTTAATATACTCCGGCGAAGGTTTGTGGCATAGTACGATTGCCATGAAGCTTTGGGAAGTTTTTTTAATACACTCCCGCGAAGGTTTCTGGCATTTATCCTACGATAGATGGCGCGCGTTTACACGAGCATTCGAGCACTGTGTGTTCGATCGATTTCAAATTGTGAAGACCATTTCCCCTTCCAAAAAATATCTCTATATATGCATTTATTATTTACGATATTTGTTATAATTTTTGTTTAACCACTTTATTTCAACTTTTTTTTGGTAATTACGTAATCGCTCGAACTTTGTTAAAGCCTTAACTGTATCATGAACAACAACCGAAGTTGTAGAAGGAAATTCGCCTATTTTACCGATCTAGGGATCCCCCTTTTTCAAATTTTAATATCAACTCAAAATAATTTAAAAAGACAAATTACAATACAACGGTTTATTATCCAACTATCAGAAATTTCACAACACACCAAGGAAGAGAGGAAGGAGCAATTAAATATTCAAAATTATGAAGGATTAAAAAAAATATATAAAAATGGGGAATATCGCGCTTCTGACAATCGCTGCGAGTATGTGGGCTAAATTTAAAGAATCCATGCTTCTCGCTTGGACAACTGTACGTGGCGGCTCATGCGTCGGAAAACCTTCCGATTTATTCGTGTACGCACCAGACGAAAAACAAAAAATATCGTGTATCCACAAAGCACTCCAATAAATAAATAAAATTGAAACGACACTTTGAAATGTTTTCCCGATGAAAATAATAATAAGGTTCAATGAAAATGATAAAATGTAAATTTAATTTTATCATAACGAGTTTGCTTGAATTTCCTTTCTTCTGAGATCGCAGCAATGCGCGACCGGTAAGCTAGTGTTCTTATAAATTGTAAATACACTGTATATGTTTTCCGCACTTTGCTAATATTATACTCGATATACAGCCAGAGTTTACCAGACATCAAAAGATTCCCGAATTACTTACCTTCTTGAGATCTCGTTTAGGTATATTTCAACACAAAACTGTTTAAAACATAAAAATTTTTTATTTAGTGAACAGAAAATTAATAATTTATAACAAATGTTTTGGGGGATTCATTATATGCGATGTCTGAAGCTGTACATATAGTAACTTCTACCACGCAAACAGCCGGAAAGAGTCTCGCTGCCCCTTTCTGTGCTATAGCTATAACAAAAAAAGAAAAATGTATTTTAATAAAGCGCCACGCGTTAACAGCTCGTTCTATAATACGAAACGCCAGTAGTGTACTGTACATCGGCGGGAAATCGAAACTGAAGACTTATAACAGGTTACGCTTGAACTTTCGAACTGCTGTAAGAAAGACTGAAAAATTCAACGCATTAAATAAATTTTACTGGTGGTTTATAGGTTTCGGGTAACGGAAAATCACTGGCTGCTCGACTGCAAATAATTTAACATTTGCGGCTTTGCACAATTTTCTTCGCTGCGAATAACGGTGTTTTGCACAAATTCGACTGCGCGGTTTCGCTCGGTTTTGCACTGTGCAAAAAATATAGCGTGCGCGATTGGAAATTGCGAGCGGGCTACGAGTTGAGGCCGACGAATGCAGAAAACCGCAGCGAGAATCGACAGAAGGGTGGCTGCTGATGATAAGTTTAAAGTCTTACATCTGCTTTAGAACACAGAAAGCAACACTTGCTAGTTGTCCGCAACGTTCGGACTATCTCGAAATTAGGTTAAAGTTGTATGACTGATTCTGGATATGAAGCAACTGACGATCTGACAAGATGCAACGTAATACCAAGTGAAACTGGCTTGTTGACACCAATTCTAGATGATGCACCGAGTTTAATAACGCGACTAATATCATTGGTGTAAATACACGTTTACAATAAACACATATTTATGACGGTAAAATCGGCCCGACGCTAAAGCATCTGGCCGATTTTACGGTCATAGCACGAAGCAAGGAGTTCAAGGAGTTATTTGTTTATCGAATCCACTACAATGTAACCATTCTTGTAAATGAATTAGTTTAATTTGTAAGAATGATAGGCTGTAGCCTGAACTTAATATCCTTCCAAAGAAAAAACAGTTAAATGAAACAGAATCCATTACATGATTGATCGGAAATATATTTAATGTCTTTCCTTCACCTTATTGTGCCTCTGTTGGGCAACTTTTTCTTTCGATTACAGTATTTTTAAATGCTTGTATTAAGTACATTCGTTGGATTTTACTGTCTAATTCAATATTTTTTAATAAAGATAAAATGTTTATGGACGTTATGTCCCGATATGTCGGGTCCCGTCTCTCCTCGCCCTATCGCACACACTGTGGATTTGACCGAACCCGTGGTGGGTATGGAATAAAGGCTTTCTTACTGCTCGTAGGGAGGGAAAAAAATCCAAAAATACTGCGCTAATCAATAGACTTGTTTAATTTAATTAGATATGAAAACTGATCTTCAAAATGTTTTCAATTAACAATAAGAAAAATATTTTAATTAATCGATATACGGTATATAAAATGAAGCACATATCAGTTATATAAATAATATTTTTAAACTATGGATTAAATTGATGGAATAAGGCAACGCAACAATTGGTCGATCTGTCAAGGGAAGAAGGCGCCTCTTGGGAAGATTCTACGAGAAACTGGCTCCTATTTAGGTGCTAATAGTATAAACCTTATACCAAACAATGACTAATTTTTCATTAAAAACAAAAAACATTTTAAAAACAAACTAATTAGTGTTACAATACACTGTCATATTTTCCTTTAAAAATGACATGTAATAATGATTTATAAAGACCTAATTACGTTATATATATATATAAATATTATCCTCATTAATTTTCTAACAGACTTCCCCCTAATATAATCAGAGGACTGTTAACCGTTGATTTGAGTGAGGGCCAACATTAAGAATTTTAATTTCGATACAATGAGCGAATACTTAAGGTAAGTCGATAAGTGTTTTTACAATCTTTACGTTTAATTATCTAAAATAATTATTTCAATTATTTAAAATAATTAAACATTTGGTTCAGTCAAAACTGTGTCGATCTGGTATATGATGTTTACGATGGTACAGACGACGACACGTTTGCTAAGCCATTACCACCCGTGGTCATCTTTCACGGGTTAGGAGACTGCAAAGAGAATTGGAAATACATAGCATCTTCCATAGCCGATAGGACTGTTAGAAAGGTACGTATGTAAAAATCAATAGTAATATACACATAAAATACATTTATAGAAATCTATGCATTACTACAGGTTTATGTACCAGATATTAGAAATCATGGAAAAAGCCCGAAGACTTCAAATATGACACTCGAAGCAAATGTCAACGACTTTGAAAAATTTCTTCGATTCATTAACGAGCCTGTCATCGTTATTGGACACAGTTTTGGAGGAATAACAGCATTATATCTTTCATTCCAAAAGGTAAATTATATTATAAAAGTTGTTAGTTTTAACTAATCAAATAAAAAATTTAAATATATTAAGCAATTTAATTATAAAGACACTGTTTTATTAGATATATTAATTTTTCTTTTCTATATCTACAATAATTAGATGTATTCGTTTTGTCTAAACAGTGTACACTTTTATGTAAATTGACGTCATTATCACACTCGCTCGTAAAAAATTGTAAGAATGATGTAAAGAAACGTCGCTCTTATAGTTTACAAAGTTACAGTTTGACGGACAAATTATGTAATAATAGTGTACATCATTTAGATAAAACGAATGCACCTGTAACATAGAGAGTTGTTAAAGTGCATCAAAATATTACAGGTAAAAAAGGAGTATATATTTAAAATTAATTTAATACTACATCTATAGTTTTTAAGGATTGTAAGGAATATAAATATGGTTGTTTTTTAATTATTCTGCAAATAAATTTGGTTCGCTTTTCGATTTCCCATTTCACAGAGAAAATAAACAATTATCAATTGAAAATTTTTTTTATTCATTCACTTATTTTTAATTAGTACCTAATTAGGGGCCAGTTTTCCAGAAAAGTCCTCCCCTTCCTTGATAGATCGCCCATGTATTGCGTTATCTTATCCCATCAATCAAATCCAATCCTAATATAATATTAAAGTTATTGACACCACAAAACACTTAACGGATATATTACGAAATAAATAAAATTAATGTGTCATCCAGCGATAATTGTTTTTTGTACCTAACATTTGTACCTAAATTTAAATACACAATTTTTAGACAAATTTTAAATGAATTCAAATTGTTTCTAGTATATAGAAATGATTACAGTGGCATAAGTTTAAACATGGGTGTTGAAAAGCGATCCTGATGAAGGTCATTCGATTACTGTGCCTACGGCAATGAAAAAATAAAAAATAATACTGAAAAGAATTCACGATATAAGCCTTAAATATCCACGCTAAATGATACTTTGATAGAAATGTCCATGGCCATCCGCACAGGAAGTCAAACGGGACACTTCCCTCCCCGAGATCGTGTAAAAATTCCACAAATTATAATCGTAAAAGTGATTAAGATATGTAAGCTTATACTCTCGATCATAGGACGGGTTATCTTTCTCTTTGTATTGATGCAATACTGTATTCTTTAACCCCTTCATTTTTAGTAACTAGATAGAGGAGGTGGTATTATGGAATCCCAATTACATTTTAGTGAATTGTAAACAAGGTATCATAAATACACCCACAGTTTTTGTGCGAAAAGTACCGGTAACTAGTAAACTAAATGTTCCTAATTGGATTTTTCGCTAGTGTAATTATAAGTATGGTTTTTGAAGGCTTTTGTACAAAAAGTCCGAAAGTAGGCTTAGAGAAAATCGGGTGGTAATATGGAACCTTACTGTATATTTTCAAAAAAATGCTTTAATGTAGCCAAAAACAAATAGGAAAGGACAAAAAATGTTANATTAGTTTAGAAAAGTCAAGAAATTCTAAATAATATGAAATTACCAGCTCATATATAGCTTATGAGATGGCATTATAAAATAATTTTCCATCTAATTTTCTGAAAATATTCAAATAAATCTTTGTAAATAGTATCAATATATTAAAAATTAATAATAGAAAAATATTACTAAACTTTTGAATCAAAACATTCATTGACATTGGAAATAATAATGCTGTGTGATCAATTCATTAACATCTATAAGGAATATGTCCATTTTTTAGATTATTTCATTGTTTATTTGAATATATAATAATATATTTAAAATTTTTAAATAAATTAGATTTAATAATTATATAGGAAAATTCAGTAAGCATTGCAGGATCTTCCAGACTGAATGCTATCATTTTAAATTACTAAGTAAATATTATCTGAGAATTATGCAACATACACTAATCTATTGATTAAGTGTCCAAGTTTCATCTTCATATGCATTAGAACAACTTGATGTCTACTATCTCTAGAAGCATATTAACAAAAACCACAGAAGAAAAGGCATTTTGTGTTCTGAAATTCATAAGATTGGAATTCCATAAATGGAAGTGCGACTCAAATAATCCGAAGAAGCTCTAGAATTGTAGAGCTGTGGGTGGAGTGACAACGAATACGCTATAGCAATTGTAGAAAGAATTTGAGTATCAATTGGATGTGTCTCGTGCGACAGGAAATGCACAAGTTGAGAAATTGTAATGGGAAAATGTGAAACTTGGATAGTTTGCCAATGTTTTCATGTACAGTACATTACAATGCTCTTTAATAATAATTAACATTGTTATAATTTTAAATAACTATAATATTCTTTTTAAAAGACCCTATATTTATAGTAAATTTATGGCTGTCATCACGTTCTGATTTATTTATTTCATTAAAAGGAGTGTTTCTAGAAAATTAAGAATGATAATGCCTTTAAACTAAAATTCTAAGCATATTATCTATAAAAATCTCTAAATTTAAAAATGATGATCATAAAAATAGATTGAACTTAAAAGATATTAGAATTTCTAACTACAGACTTGTGTATGCAAGCTTTTCCAAGTTAGAAGTTATTCCTTCATCTTTTTAGAGTACATACTGAATATAAACAGTTTTAACATCCTGTAATGGACATAAAAAATTATGCATTACTTCAGCTTGAAACTATCAGAGATCCTCCCACATCTACTGATAAAGTTAATGGGTAACATGGAAGTGTTTATTAATTGCTAATAAGCTGTAGTGTATGTAAACAAACATATTTCATAACTGTAATATAAGAGCATATTAACAAGCACAAGAAATTGCTGATTGGTTGCATTGATCATCATCAATGCNTGAAAAGAAAAGTATAGCACAAACACTCGGAAAAGCAATGCTTAACTCGCGCATGCCTAACACCAACTAAAATTTGACACAAAATATCGTTACGTTCGTTATCCGAGACAAAATTTTTGCAAAATAAAAGTTCGTTAACCGATTTGGTCGTTAACCAGGACGTTCGTTAACCGGGGTTCCACTGTATTTTGAATTAAATAAATTAAAAATATAATTAAAAATTTCAGCCCGGCATTGTGATGAAGTCACAATAAATAACTGATTTGTTTATTGTTTATGATATTGTTTATTATATTAGTCTTTATATCAATATAATAGCAGTTGTTTACTTTCAGTGATAGATCATCTTTTATTTAATTAATTTCTCATTTACAACAAAATGTTTTTATCTTTAGAAGAACTATAACAACTGTTTTAAAGACCATGTTCTGTTTTATTTATTTCATTAAAAGGAGTGTTTCTAGAAAATTAAGAATGATAATGCCTTTAAACTAAAATTCTAAGCATATTATCTATAAAAATCTCTAAATTTAAAAATGATGATCATAAAAATAGATTGAACTTAAAAGATATTAGAATTTCTAACTACAGACTTGTGTATGCAAGCTTTTCCAAGTTAGAAGTTATTCCTTCATCTTTTTAGAGTACATACTGAATATAAACAGTTTTAACATCCTGTAATGGACATAAAAAATTATGCATTACTTCAGCTTGAAACTATCAGAGATCCTCCCACATCTACTGATAAAGTTAATGGGTAACATGGAAGTGTTTATTAATTGCTAATAAGCTGTAGTGTATGTAAACAAACATATTTCATAACTGTAATATAAGAGCATATTAACAAGCACAAGAAATTGCTGATTGGTTGCATTGATCATCATCAATGCAACCAATCAGCAATTTCTAGTAACATTTAATTACCCATCAGTTTGTAACATCTTCTCAAGTACAAATTTTAACTTTATTGCNTGTCTGTCTGTCCTTCATGCATTACCACACCGTTTATCCGATTGCCGTGAAACTTTGGGAAGTTGTTTAATATACTCCGGCGAAGGTTTGTGGCATAGTACGATTGCCATGAAGCTTTGGGAAGTTTTTTTAATACACTCCCGCGAAGGTTTCTGGCATTTATCCTACGATAGATGGCGCACGTTTACACGAGCATTCGAGCACTGTGTGTTCGATCGATTTCAAATTGTGAAGACCATTTCCCCTTCCAAAAAATATCTCTATATATGCATTTATTATTTACGATATTTGTTATAATTTTTGTTTAACCACTTTATTTCAACTTTTTTTTGGTAATTACGTAATCGCTCGAACTTTGTTAAAGCCTTAACTGTATCATGAACAATAACCGAAGTTGTAGAAGGAAATTCGCCTATTTTACCGATCTAGGGATCCCCCTTTTTCAAATTTTAATATCAACTCAAAATAATTTAAAAAGACAAATTACAATACAACGGTTTATTATCCAACTATCAGAAATTTCACAACACACCAAGGAAGAGAGGAAGGAGCAATTAAATATTCAAAATTATGAAGGATTAAAAAAAATATATAAAAATGGGGAATATCGCGCTTCTGACAATCGCTGCGAGTATGTGGGCTAAATTTAAAGAATCCATGCTTCTCGCTTGGACAACTGTACGTGGCGGCTCATGCGTCGGAAAACCTTCCGATTTATTCGTGTACGCACCAGACGAAAAAACAAAAAATATCGTGTATCCACAAAGCACTCCAATAAATAAATAAAATTGAAACGACACTTTGAAATGTTTTCCCGATGAAAATAATAATAAGGTTCAATGAAAATGATAAAATGTAAATTTAATTTTATCATAACGAGTTTGCTTGAATTTCCTTTCTTCTGAGATCGCAGCAATGCGCGACCGGTAAGCTAGTGTTCTTATAAATTGTAAATACACTGTGTATGTTTTCCGCACTTTGCTAATATTATACTCGATATACAGCCAGAGTTTACCAGACATCAAAAGATTCCCGAATTACTTACCTTCTTGAGATCTCGTTTAGGTATATTTCAACACAAAACTGTTTAAAACATAAAAATTTTTTATTTAGTGAACAGAAAATTAATAATTTATAACAAATGTTTTGGGGGATTCATTATATGCGATGTCTGAAGCTGTACATATAGTAACTTCTACCACGCAAACAGCCGGAAAGAGTCTCGCTGCCCCTTTCTGTGCTATAGCTATAACAAAAAAAGAAAAATGTATTTTAATAAAGCGCCACGCGTTAACAGCTCGTTCTATAATACGAAACGCCAGTAGTGTACTGTACATCGGCGGGAAATCGAAACTGAAGACTTATAACAGGTTACGCTTGAACTTTCGAACTGCTGTAAGAAAGACTGAAAAATTCAACGCATTAAATAAATTTTACTGGTGGTTTATAGGTTTCGGGTAACGGAAAATCACTGGCTGCTCGACTGCAAATAATTTAACATTTGCGGCTTTGCACAATTTTCTTCGCTGCGAATAACGGTGTTTTGCACAAATTCGACTGCGCGGTTTCGCTCGGTTTTGCACTGTGCAAAAAATATAGCGTGCGCGATTGGAAATTGCGAGCGGGCTACGAGTTGAGGCCGACGAATGCAAAAAACCGCAGCGAGAATCGACAGAAGGGTGGCTGCTGATGATAAGTTTAAAGTCTTACATCTGCTTTAGAACACAGAAAGCAACACTTGCTAGTTGTCCGCAACGTTCGGACTATCTCGAAATTAGGTTAAAGTTGTATGACTGATTCTGGATATGAAGCAACTGACGATCTGACAAGATGCAACGTAATACCAAGTGAAACTGGCTTGTTGACACCAATTCTGGATGATGCACCGAGTTTAATAACGCGACTAATATCATTGGAGTAAATACTCGTTTACAATAAACACATATTTATGACGGTAAAATCGGCCCTACGCTAAAGCATCTGGCCGATTTTACGGTCATAGCACGAAGCAAGGAGTTCAAGGAGTTATTTGTTTATCGAATCCACTACAATGTAACCATTCTTGTAAATGAATTAGTTTAATTTGTAAGAATGATAGGCTGTAGCCTGAACTTAATATCCTTCCAAAGAAAAAACAGTTAAATGAAACAGAATCCATTACATGATTGATCGGAAATATATTTAATGTCTTTCCTTCACCTTATTGTGCCTCTGTTGGGCAACTTTTTCTTTCGATTACAGTATTTTTAAATGCTTGTATTAAGTACATTCGTTGGATTTTACTGTCTAATTCAATATTTTTTAATAAAGATAAAATGTTTATGGACGTTATGTCCCGATATGTCGGGTCCCGTCTCTCCTCGCCCTATCGCACACACTGTGGATTTGACCGAACCCGTGGTGGGTATGGAATAAAGGCTTTCTTACTGCTCGTAGGGAGGGAAAAAAATCCAAAAATACTGCGCTAATCAATAGACTTGTTTAATTTAATTAGATATGAAAACTGATCTTCAAAATGTTTTCAATTAACAATAAGAAAAATATTTTAATTAATCGATATACGGTATATAAAATGAAGCACATATCAGTTATATAAATAATATTTTTAAACTATGGATTAAATTGATGGAATAAGGCAACGCAACAATTGGTCGATCTGTCAAGGGAAGAAGGCGCCTCTTGGGAAGATTCTACGAGAAACTGGCTCCTATTTAGGTGCTAATAGTATAAACCTTATACCAAACAATGACTAATTTTTCATTAAAAACAAAAAACATTTTAAAAACAAACTAATTAGTGTTACAATACACTGTCATATTTTCCTTTAAAAATGACATATAATAATGATTTATAAAGACCTAATTACGTTATATATATATATATAAATATTATCCTCATTAATTTTCTAACAGACTTCCCCCTAATATAATCAGAGGACTGTTAACCGTTGATTTGAGTGAGGGCCAACATTAAGAATTTTAATTTCGATACAATGAGCGAATACTTAAGGTAAGTCGATAAGTGTTTTTACAATCTTTACGTTTAATTATCTAAAATAATTATTTCAATTATTTAAAATAATTAAACATTTGGTTCAGTCAAAACTGTGTCGATCTGGTATATGATGTTTACGATGGTACAGACGACGACACGTTTGCTAAGCCATTACCACCCGTGGTCATCTTTCACGGGTTAGGAGACTGCAAAGAGAATTGGAAATACATAGCATCTTCCATAGCCGATAGGACTGTTAGAAAGGTACGTATGTAAAAATCAATAGTAATATACACATAAAATACATTTATAGAAATCTATGCATTACTACAGGTTTATGTACCAGATATTAGAAATCATGGAAAAAGCCCGAAGACTTCAAATATGACACTCGAAGCAAATGTCAACGACTTTGAAAAATTTCTTCGATTCATTAACGAGCCTGTCATCGTTATTGGACACAGTTTTGGAGGAATAACAGCATTATATCTTTCATTCCAAAAGGTAAATTATATTATAAAAGTTGTTAGTTTTAACTAATCAAATAAAAAATTTAAATATATTAAGCAATTTAATTATAAAGACACTGTTTTATTAGATATATTAATTTTTCTTTTCTATATCTACAATAATTAGATGTATTCGTTTTGTCTAAACAGTGTACACTTTTATGTAAATTGACGTCATTATCACACTCGCTCGTAAAAAATTTGTAAGAATGATGTAAAGAAACGTCGCTCTTATAGTTTACAAAGTTACAGTTTGACGGACAAATTATGTAATAATAGTGTACATCATTTAGATAAAACGAATGCACCTGTAACATAGAGAGTTGTTAAAGTGCATCAAAATATTACAGGTAAAAAAGGAGTATATATTTAAAATTAATTTAATACTACATCTATAGTTTTTAAGGATTGTAAGGAATATAAATATGGTTGTTTTTTAATTATTCTGCAAATAAATTTGGTTCGCTTTTCGATTTCCCATTTCACAGAGAAAATAAACAATTATCAATTGAAAATTTTTTTTATTCATTCACTTATTTTTAATTAGTACCTAATTAGGGGCCAGTTTTCCAGAAAAGTCCTCCCCTTCCTTGATAGATCGCCCATGTATTGCGTTATCTTATCCCATCAATCAAATCCAATCCTAATACAATATTAAAGTTATTGACACCACAAAACACTTAACGGATATATTACGAAATAAATAAAATTAATGTGTCATCCAGCGATAATTGTTTTTTGTACCTAACATTTGTACCTAAATTTAAATACACAATTTTTAGACAAATTTTAAATGAATTCAAATTGTTTCTAGTATATAGAAATGATTACAGTGGCATAAGTTTAAACATGGGTGTTGAAAAGCGATCCTGATGAAGGTCATTCGATTACTGTGCCTACGGCAATGAAAAAATAAAAAATAATACTGAAAAGAATTCACGATATAAGCCTTAAATATCCACGCTAAATGATACTTTGATAGAAATGTCCATGGCCATCCGCACAGGAAGTCAAACGGGACACTTCCCTCCCCGAGATCGTGTAAAAATTCCACAAATTATAATCGTAAAAGTGATTAAGATATGTAAGCTTATACTCTCGATCATAGGACGGGTTATCTTTCTCTTTGTATTGATGCAATACTGTATTCTTTAACCCCTTCATTTTTAGTAACTAGATAGAGGAGGTGGTATTATGGAATCCCAATTACATTTTAGTGAATTGTAAACAAGGTATCATAAATACACCCACAGTTTTTGTGCGAAAAGTACCGGTAACTAGTAAACTAAATGTTCCTAATTGGATTTTTCGCTAGTGTAATTATAAGTATGGTTTTTGAAGGCTTTTGTACAAAAAGTCCGAAAGTAGGCTTAGAGAAAATCGGGTGGTAATATGGAACCTTACTGTATATTTTCAAAAAAATGCTTTAATGTAGCCAAAAACAAATAGGAAAGGACAAAAAATGTTAAATAATTAC